TTAATAAGCTTAGGCTTTTATTGTTTTACTCAGTTAAGAAACAGATGTTTCTTAATCTCGTTTCCAGACCCCTTATTTACATTTCATATATAGTTTTCAAAAGTTGTAACGGTCTTTATTCCACTTTTGAAAATGTATGTTGCGTAGCATACGAAACGTCAAGTTATTAAAATGCGTAAGTTTAATATGTTTATCACCGCTATTTGTGTTTTATTCCTCGTTAAACTACGATGGCCCAAGAACAAGCTCACTCAAGTCTGCTCAAGTTGTCTGTTGGTGGGGTAAAACTAGAAATGTTGGTGGATTCTGGAGCCACCAATAACATTGTTGATGAAAAAACCTGGGAGGATGTGAAAGTTAAGAAGATCAAATGTAAATCAGGAGCTGCTCCTATTGACAGGAAGCTATATGCCTATGCCTCCAGCAAACCCCTCCCAGTAAAAGGTCGTTTTATTTGTGAAGTGTTGATTGATAAAGGGAAAGCTCAAGCTGAATTCCTAGTCATCAAAGGAAAAGGAGTGCCAGAGGCAGAGGAGACCACCAGAGAGATACAAAGACTATGTTTTGAAATTATGAACTGATCTGCTGTGAGATGTTCACTGATGGATAAATCAAAAAACTTTGTGATTTTGTTCTTAAAGGTATTGTTGAGGCCGCTCATTCGGAGGGAATTTAAACTTTTGACTTTGTTGACATGTTTATCGCATAAAGGTGTCTACCTTTAAAGTTGAATTTGTTTTCGTTATGTTTACGATCAAGTTCGAAGGATTGTTAGACTTTGTTTCCTCAGAGAAAAGGAGAGATGTCGTGTATGTCACATTTCGTGCATGTATGTCATGAAGTAGACAAGGAGCAGCATGGGAGAGAAAAATAAAGAGATCACATGGTCGACTTGTTGTGTGCTTCTCTCTGAATTAGTTTCAATTCTCCAGCTAGTTAAACCTCCTCTAATTTATGTACTAAGAGGACACGACAATAATCGCTTGCGCTTTAATGTAAATTCTCCATCTGTGGTTCCAAATATTGACTTAAGCCCGAATCAAACGGCGCATAACAGCCCATGACAGTTAATGATAGTTGTAGCACGCGCTTCTGTTTGACCACCTCCAACCATCATGAACTATCATTCACTTTGAGCTTATTCAAAATTCTTCATGATAGTCGATGATAGCGTTTCAGAAATTTAGTTTGATAATTGAATTTTCGGCTGTTGCCACTATACGTTTGACTTTATTTGGTACAATTTTCTCTTGAAGATAAAATTAAGGGTTTTTTTAGCAGGTGGTATTATTGCTACGGTAATTTTATCGTGTCACGAAAATGATACCAACGTGTTCACCAATGATCAGGTAGTTTTTTTGACACCATGATTGTCGCATCAACTGAGAAGAAGTGGTAATAAAGACACGTCAAAATCTGCGTCTTAGAAAGTGCTGGAAACTGTTTTGAGCCACCTTAAGTCATTTCTTAAAAAGTTCTTATTTTACAGGCGGTTTTAAAAAGCTTTCTATTGTGTCATATAACTGGGACTTGTTCTATAATATTACTTGGATTTTTTTCCTTTACAGTCTGTAAAACACACTGAGTCATTGTTAATTACTTTAACGAGAAACTTTACTGTTACAGTGTTGTGTGCATTAATATCTTAAGGTTACAGTATACCTTCAGATCGGCAATTTTCTTCAAATTTGGATTTTTGGTTCAAACTAATGGTCGAAGAGTAATCTCTAATTTCTGAAANAAGAGACGCTGTCCTGTGTAAATGTAGGCCAGACCATGTAACGTGCAAACTACTTAAGGAAAGAGTGGAGCTAACGCTCGCTCGCACATTAGAAATCGCAGAACAGTGTGAAAGTGTAGCCCACCAAATGTCTCATCTCAGTGTGAGTGAGCCGAGTAAAGAAGATGCAAACAGGGTTTACGTATGACCTGAGCAACCCAATGGTAACCAAAACCGAAAGAAAAATGGATTTCAGTGCTATCCTTGTGGGTCGAGTTGGCACCTGGGTAGAGATCCAAACTGTCCTGCTAGGGGTCAGACCTGTAGGAAATGTAAAGGGAAAGATCATTTTGCTAGTGTGTGCAAAACCAAACCAAAGAAACCAGGAGTTAATCAAGTACAAGAAGATTGGTAAAGGGAAAGCTCAAGCTGAATTCCTAGTCATCAAAGGAAAAGGAGTGCCACTCCTGTGCAAAGATACTGCAATGAAGTTAGGTGTGCTGAGAATAGGTGTCGACATCGCTACAGTTGCTGGAACCAGGCAGACATTACAGCGACAATTCCCAGAAGTATTTAGTGGGATTGGAAAGCTTAAGTCTAAGCAATTGACATTACACGTAGACCCAAAAGTGAAACCAGTTCCTCAACCGCTAAGGTGAATCCCCTTCAATTTACAAGAAAAAGTAGAAAAGAAGATTCAAGAACTATTGGACTGTGACATCATAGAAGAAGTTGATGGGCCTACACCATAGGTGAACCCAATAGTAATTATCCCAAAGCAGATGGTGACATTCGTCTCTGCATCGATATGAGGCGAGCAAACGAGGCCATTCTACGTGGACGACACCCCATACCAACTGTTGATGAGCTGCTACACAGCATGAACAGCTCAAGGGTTTTCAGCAAGCTAGATTTAAAGTGGGGATACCACCAGCTGGAGCTTAGTCAAGAGTCACGCCAAATCACCACCTTCGTGACACACAAGGGCTTATACAGATATAAGCGCCTATTGTTTGGTGTGAGCTCAGCAAGTGAACTGTACCAACATGAGATATCCACCGCTCTGGCTGGAATAGAGGGCGTTGACAATATCTCTGATGACATCATTGTACACGGCCCAGACCAGAAAACTCATGACCAACGCCTTCTCAAAACCANGGAAGCTGCCAGAGCTGCATGCTGATTGCCGTCTAGACCTAGAAACTCGGGATAGAGACACAGAAGTGAAAGCAAAGACCAAAGCAAATGCCGACAAAGCAGCAAATGCGAAACTATCAGACATTACAGTGGGTGATCAAGTACTTGTAAGACAAGAGAGAAAAGGCAAATTCTCGACACCATTCAATCCAACGCCATACCGTATGGTAAGCAAGACTGGCAACAGTGTCACTGTGGAGGCTCCAGGTGGGACCCAATACTCGAGAAATACCTCACATGTGAAAAGGTTTATAGCGGACGATCCTGTATCGACACCTGGGGCACCATCTGCTAGCCCAGACGAATTCGTCATACCTTCCGCAATTCCAAGCCAAGTGTTAAGTGAATTGACACCGGCAGCACCTACCACACCACAGAGTGAACCTCTGTAGTGTATTGAGCCAGCGGTTGACATTATGAGCATGCGCACTTATGCACATTCTATTCCATGTGCTTCGATCGAAATAAACCAAATACATGACAGTGGCGACGAGGATGAATTCGTAGGAAAACGTCGAAAATATGACTGCTATCGGGAAGATAGAGAGTTCTGATGAGACACAAGAGAAATGGGAAACTTATGCGGAACGTNAAAGTGTTGTTGAGGACGCTCATTCGGAGACAATTTAAACTTTTAACTTTGTTGACATGTTTATCGCATATAGGCGTCTACCTTTAGAGTTGAATTTGTTATCGCTATGTTTACGTTCATGTTCGAAGGATTGTTAGACTTTCTTTCCTCAGAGAAAAGGAGAGATGTCGTGTATGTCACATTTCGTGCATTTATGTCATGAAGTAGACAAGGAGCAGTATGGGAGAGAAGAATAAAGAGAGCACATGGTCGACGTGTTGTGTGCTTCTTTCCGAACTAGTTTCACTTCTCCAACTAGTTAAACCTCCTCTAATTTATGTACTAAGAGGACACGACAGACTTTAAGGTTTGTACCAAGCTAATTTGAGGAATATTAGATTATGCATTTTACACTTAAGTTTTAAAGACAGACGAGCGGTCTACCGTCAAGTTCAAGCAGTTAGTTGTTAACAAGACGAGTTTTAAATTTGCATTTTGTGTGTTTATGGTTGGCTGCTTGTCGACCAAAGTAACGGATTCCTGCAAAGAAAGGAGGATGAACTAGATAACTAGACCGCTAATATCATCTTCTGTATACTTGAAGAATCCTGGACTTATTTTTGAGCTACATTTCTCGAAAAAGTTTAATTTTTGTCGCCGCTCAGGTCTCGTGAAAAAAAAAATCGTGATGTTTTGATCGGCTGTTTGTGTTGACAAGAAATTCTTGTGGTCCCTCATGCAGCTGTGATTTCCAGAAAGACTCGTTGTTATAGCGTTTTCTATTCAGTTGATACTTTCTGAAACATTGATTTCACATAATGTACGTTTCGGGATTGCTCATTCGTTTTTGAAACCGATACCCTTGAGAGGTTTCAGCGATTTGTGTAAATTAGTAAACACAGTACATAGAATAGAGCGTTTTCACTGTCACGCAATAAAAAATAAAATCAAAAACCATTCCGTGGATAAGGTCAAAAAATTGTGATGTTATAAAAGATAAATAAAGAAGACAGTTCTTAAAGTTTAAGGTGTGTGCGTTGTGCCAAAGTTGAGATATTCGTCGAAATGTTCCAATATCTCGCGGCCGGAGAGTAGTGGCCAGACATTAAATGTCACGCATTATTTGTAACGCCATTGATCATTTGGAATTCGCTTCTCTCCCCAACTAACGGAGTGGACAAGCTGGGAAATATTATTTCGGATAGGATTTCTTTATTTGTTTCACTTCTCGCTCGATTAAATTGGAAAATGAAAAAATGAAACTGTCCGTAGACTGTAGTGAGAAGTCAGGGTGTCTGTTAAGCGAAATGGGTATGGAATTTCTTGAGCAGTTTGGTCTAAGATGTCTAAGATAGGGTGTATATATATTGACTATTTTTTTTTTCCAAATTAAGGTTTGCGCACCCTAGACATCTGGAATTTGGTGTGTGTGTGTGTGTGTGTTTTTTTAAGTAACTTATCTTTCTTATCAAGTACGCAGTTGTTTAGTATTAGAGTACCTAAACTTTGGTTAGGTCTGAAAAAGATGTAGAGCAAATACGGAAAATTTCTGAAATACACTGCCCTGCTAATAACTTGGTCTTTGCTCTTAGATTATGGCGCTGACAACGGACCAATACTTGGAAAAAATTGGGAGCTTTGGTCGTTATCAAATTCTGCTCCTGGTCTTTCTAAATGGCTTAATCTTCTTTTGGTTTGGTTGGCCAGTGATGATTGTAACCTTCATAACTGCCGAACCGGCTTGGAGATGCGTAGCCAATAGTAGTGTTTGTCAATTAAATGGAACGATGAAGCCCAAGCATGATAACTATTCTTTCAGATGTGATATTGATCGAGATCAGTGGGAGTTCGTGGATGATTTTACATCTGTTGTGACTGAGGTAAGTGAATTCATTAATTAGAAAAAGTTAGAACTATAACGGAAGCGATGCCAATGAAAAATAAACTGAAACAAACAAAAAAACGACAACAACAGCAACAACAACAACCCCCCCCAATCCACCCTCCCCTCCCCCAAAATTAAATGAACCGTGTTCTGATGCAAGTTGCATTTTACATTACCAAGAAAAAACACAACTTGAAATAGCTAGGTTAATGGTGTTACCTAGCCTCGCTTTGTTTCAGTGTTGATGCAGATCAAATAAGATGTGTGTTTATAAAGTGAATTTTGAATGGCGATCTTCCCAGCGTATATATACCATACTTGGCTACTGTAATAGAAAATAGTTTTACGACATGCCACATAGTTGTTATACCTTATTTGTCAATAATTTTTTGCTCTTGAAAGATTGAAAGCTGCCTTACTAAACCGTGAAGAGTATTGTCATAATTTAGCCCAGTCAGCATCTCATATTTGATTGTTGTGATCTTGACAGTTCGATCTCGTGTGTGAGCGTGGATTGTACGGCGCCGTTGGATCGTCCATGATTTTTGTTGGGTTCTTCCTCGGCGGGATAGTTGTTGGTCCATTCAGCGACAAGTTTGGCAGGAAAATCACCATGTACATATCTGGTCTGATGGTTTCGGTCGTAAGTCTGTTAGCAGCTTTCCCTCACGCTTTCTGGCTGTTTGCGCTGGCCAGATGTGTGATTGGATTCGGAATAGGTTAGTAAATTGGAACAATGAAGCCCAGTCTAACATTTTTTCTCTCTAGCGGGTGCGAAGTAATGAGTTTCTTTCGGTGACGTGAACGCTTTAAGCTAAATTAGGGATTCAAGCGCGTTTTCTCTAACCGAGTCTGGAGATGGGAAAAGGTTAAAACTGGCTAGTGAGCAAATAGGGTCAAGAAAAAACAAACAAACAAACAGCAAAAAAACAAACAAACAAACAAACAGCAAAAAAACAACAACAAAAACAAGAGCGTCAGTCAACTACTAACTTGGAAAATTAGAAGTTTGCAAATCAATTCAAATCAACCATTTATTTATTTATTTATTATTTATTATCGCGATCTTTTCATTTGATTTCCAAATATCTTTTCTTGCTTTCTGATAATCGATGACGTTGAACGAAATCTTATTTCTATTCTTAAAAGTTGCCTCGCGTTGTTCTTTGTTAATTTGAAGAAAAAAAATGAAGCGTACAGTTTATTTTAGGGCTTAAAAATGAGAGGTGAAGTTAAACTAAACCTTGCAGTTTTATTTTATATTTATTTGTGTCTTATTAATTATTTACTTGTGTTATCTTTTAATCAGGTGGATACAGTATTGCCGCCTACGTTCTCCTAACCGAGTTTGTTGGAATTCGTCACCGTAGCACCGCAGGTTGTTCCATATGGTACTCTTTTAACCTGTCCAACATGGCGCTGGCAGGGCTGGCATATCTCGTCAGGGACTGGAGGAAGCTGTCCATAATAATGGGAGCTCCAGCAATTCTTTTTGTGCTTGGATTGTTGTGAGTTGTATTTTGGTGTAAAATGTGGAATGTTGCGCCTCGTTGTTCTCAACTTTATGCCCCACTACAATTATAAAAACCTGCTAATACTCAAATTGTTTGCGGTAGGGGTTAGCAAGCCAAAACAACGCAGAGCGGCAGTTCAAAATTTGGAAGCGAAAGCCTCGACTTACATAGAGTAAAATGAATTTTAAAATATGGACAAGAAGAAAAAGAATCCTGAAGTACAGTGAAAGTAAAAAGGGGTGGAAAAGAAAGCCAATAAAAGGGAAAAAGAAATGGGGAGGAGCGAGGGGAAGGGGGTAGCTGAATAGCCGCGAGCAGACGCCTATTACGTCCTTTTAAACGTCTGCACGAAGGCTAGAGACTGAATGGAAGGGAAGCGAACAGATGTGTGACAAGGAGGAGTGAACATGTGAACGCATGCGCACTTTTATAGACTGACGAACTGATCAACTTCATCCACCCCAATATGGCGGAAATTAAACATATCTTAGTTGAGTAACAACATAACAAACAGGCAATCAAGCTTAAAACGTAAAATATGTGAAGATCAAATTGTCAGGTTTTCTTGCGTTCTATGTTACTGTTTCGAGTGCTTTGTAATGTGTCCTGTCTGGTTTTTGCAGCTTTTCGCCAGAATCAGTGCGTTGGTATCTCGTGAATGGTAGAACAGAGAGAGCAGAGAAAGTTCTCCAGAAAGTCGCTAAATTCAACAAAAAGCCAATACCTCAGGAATCGCTACAGAACTATGAGAAGCAGCGGCTTGGTGACTTGCGTGACTTGTTTAAGTCACGCTCTATGACGCACAGGACACTCGTATCTTGGTATTGCTGGTAAGTATCTCATGATAAGTGAATCGATACATGAATAATCGAGATCTATCTTGAGTGATCGATGGAAGTGGTAGATTGACATCATTTGGTACAGGCAGTCGATTAGATAGAAAGTCAGAGAAAAATGTGTGGGTAAAAATGATTTCTAGTTGTATAGAAGTCGATCATATTCTTTGCAATCCGTTACTAGTTCACGAAGTCAACCCCTGATCCACAATGAATTAACATGTCAGCAAAACACTCATCCCTTCCCCCGCAAAAACAAACAAACAAACAAACAAATATCTATCAGCTTAGCTTCTACCCTACTGTAGGAATTGGCAAGAGGCAGGCTTACACCAAATCTGCTCGGTCCTGGATTCAAGGAAGATTCTCGTGTAGTTTCTAATAGACACGATACACATGGGCATGTAGTCCAGTAACTGCATGTTAAATAGTGTTTTTGTTGGTACTTTTTCTACAGGTTCGTAAATGGGATGGTGTATTACGGAGTGTCCTTCAGTTCTCCATTTGTGGGTGGTAGCATGTACCTCAACTTCTTCATAACGAGTACCATAGCACTTGTTGCTTATCCAGCCCTTGCATGGGGCTGTAATAGGTAATCTGCATGAGATCATGTGACTCGAGCTTTGATTTGATTCTTTCCTGCTCTCCTAGACTGCGAGCAGTCTATTTCTTCGCCTAGCGTTCAACGCGAGGCACAAGAAGAACGATCGAGCGGCAAGAAGCATTTCTCATGTCCCTCTAGTCTCACTCCCTAATTTGATATATATGTTTTTTTTCTAATCCCGAAGAATATCAGGAGCAAAAAGGGACTGCTCGTAGTCTACAGCTCACCTTTTCTTTCCTCTTGCTGTGTTCTACTCTTCAATGTGTCCCTCTATTCTGGTAATTAAGTGCGTCCTTCTTTCTCAGGTTTGGCCGTAAGAAAACCATATGCTGCGGTCTCTTCTTCTCTGCTGTTGGAGCTTTTGGGTCTGTTTTGCTCACATCGTTCGACGATGGAAATAACAAAGGTAGAAACTTCTTATTAAACCACGTTCCGTGTCTGATTTCGTACTAAAGTAGTTACATTTGCTGCGTGCAATGTAATTTTTATGATATCGAAAAATACATCGTCAATATAGACTGCGTCACTGCTAAATACAGAGAAACCCCGCCAATGGTTTCTGAAGAGCTTGATTTGACCACAAAAAACACGAACACAAACTACCCCTCAACAGCGAGACCAGATGACACCAGAGGGACTCCTTTTTAATGCACTTCCTCAGTAAAATCCGCCGACAACAGATCACACCAACGAAGTCATAGTAATTTTGCAAGATATTTGGTCCAATCCTGTTCACCTATCGTTGATTACGCATTCAAGAGGAGGATCCAAAGTATTAGTTACTAATTATTCTTAAGGTTTTCATTACTGAAACTTATATATCTTTACAGTAATGCATTAATTTATTTACTCCTTTCAGGCATACTGGTTGGAAAAATTATATTCGCGCTGTGCATTGCCAAGTTCTTCATCGTGTTTGCTTTTGACGGATTTTACGTGTATTCCGCTGAACTGTTTCCTACAGTCATAAGGTACAGTATGGCTAGACTGCATTCTAGTAAAAAAGGAATGAACCAGCTTTCTGATCCGTATGAGGAATGGTATTATGAGTTTCAAAAGCACTCTCGGACTCAGTTTTTTTCCTTTTTCAAGGACTTGTGCCTGGCAACAAAATTGACATTTTTGTACTCATGTTGCTCGTTATTTTTACTCTGCGGAGTGGCGTTGGACAATGCGATCATTTAATGTTCAGCATGTTCAACTTATACTCAACTTATACTTATACTTGTTATTAGAGATATTTGTAAAGTTAGTTATTTTGTTGTGTTAAAGTTTTAGCTACCATGTAAGACCGTAAGCGTACTCCCGCCTCTCACGTGCATTTTCTGAGAGTCCCAAACCAGTTCGGCAGTAAAACAAACAAGCGAAACTCTACGAAAAATAAATTCATCCGGTACCTTTGTTTTATCTTTGTTGACTTCATTCACAGTTGTCATCATCGTCTAAGAATGAGTAGCTTTAGTCTGAGGGAAAATACATTTCGGTCAATCGATTAGACCTGCTGGCGATCAACGTAACCACTGCGTTTACGATTCTTAAAAGTCTTGAATACGAGTTCTTGAAAGGATTTTTGGTCCAAGGGCGACGGGAGTCATTTTGAAAATTCTCCATCCTTTCAAATATCCTGGACTTGGAGTGATGTCGTCCGAATTTCAGCAACTGTCCGCCATGTTTACTTGCCGAGATGGAAAAGGTGGCGAGCTTAGTAACCAGGCCTCAAAAATTTATATTCACCGCCTGGTGCATATAAGGAATCGCTCAACCAATCAGATTGCTGGAAACTTTTTGTTCAGCTCTGAAATCACACTGATATATCTCATTGGTGATAGGCACCCTATTGTCCTTGTACTCTACCTCCTTCTGACAAACATCAAGCAGAGTTGTTCAATTACATTGCCATGCCCAATGTAATTGGTTTATTGTCTCCATATTAGCCTCTTGTAAACCATCTAGAGTTACAGATAAGAGTTACTATGAAACTTGTTCCGRCTGAGGAACTCTTGTGAACCCTCTGTTTTGAATGGCCAAGAGTAAGAGATGACTATGGCACCTTTATTTTCCTTTCTTTCCATCAAAAATTTGGCTTGACTTGACCAGAACGTTAAGTGAACGTCGAAAACGTCTAAACGTCGTCAATTTTTTTTGTCTTTTTAAACCTTAACCAGATGGTTTTAAGGTTGTCAAAATTTTTTTCGAAATTATGTTTAGTTAAATTATTCCCAGAGATCTAAACATCTGTCTTGAGCCCCTTCAACAACCGATATGATTTATACCTTTTAAGGTGTCTGGCAACAGTTTCCGGCACTTTTCCATGGACTATACTCATAGGTTCAGTGCAACTGCTGCTTATTAAGTGATGCTATCTATAGATTACTTTTCATGGAAAGTGCGACGTACGGATTTTTATTCACGAGACTAGTTGCAACAGCAACAGGCGGACAAAGAACCTATGTACAAACTTAAATATAATACGGGACAATGCGTAAATACAAAGTTTGAAATCTTTTCGCCTGTCTTTAAGACAAATTCGGACTTTGTTGACTTACACCGCTTATAGAAATGTTGAATGTTCTTCCTTGAATGTTCGCCTCTTAAAACAGAGATAAGACTTGCTGAGGCGATTGTTGGCTTCCTGATGTTAAGTTTACTTCCTCGGTTTCTTGAATGGCCATTGATTCTGAAACTGAAGTGCTAGTGCTCAAGATGTTGGATATATTCTGCTGCTGTTTTCCAAAAGTGACCTAAAACGCGAAGCTGAAGCCATGTTTTCGAAACACAAACTTCAAGCGGGTGCTGACTTCAAGACCACGCTTCTCAGAAGCAATTCGAGTGCTTTTCTCTGATTGGCTAAGTGATTCTACTCTGGACGGCGATTGGTTATATTTTTCACGTGTGAAGAATGCCACGCGCAGCTGATTAGACGTGTCGCTTTTTTCACATGTGAAAATATACAACACATAGAATTCTATTTGCAAGTTTTTGTTGCCTAAAAATTCTTGCTTTATAGTCTATATATACGATAAATTACATTACATCATCATCATGATTATCTTTTCGAAATTTCTATCGCGGATGAGATTGCTATTCAACTGTTAGATTATGAGTTCGAGATTTCTATCGCGCGATATATAGTTAACGAGGGCGCAGCCCGAGTCAACTATCACGCATATAAATCGAGAGCGAATAATCTAATTGTTTTCGCAGAAATCTACCAGTCGTTCAAAACTTAGGCTGCGTCGAAGACAGTCTGAACCGCCGGTAGAGACTATACTGGGGATTTTGTGACACGTCCGGCTACAACGCAGGCTATCGAAACTCTGAAAATGCAAATCAGCGGCCGCCAGTTTGTTAACAACCGCACGCCTCTAGGCTACTCACTGACTATAACAAAATAGATAGTGGCCAGCGCAGCCATTCAGAGGCCGGCACTCGTAATAGAACGCTAGTAGATGTTTATACTAACTCGTGATACTTGACGAGGGCGCAGCACTTAAAGCTAATAAAAATACCCAATCTTACTCCTCAGAACTACTTGTTTGTATTCTGCATATTGCTTACTTTTTATTTACTATCCTTTAATATTGTTACTGTTCGTTTATAAGGATATTAATTAATAAGTCATTTTGCTCTTGTTTCTATACGGTGTTGTTTTGGTTTATCTTTTTATCCAATAAACGTGACAAACACTTGTGAAAAAATGATTTGTGGCAAGTCTGACGCGGCCTTTCGTCTCGGCCAAGAGACTCTTCAGAGACCTTGCAGAATTTAACAGCAAACTCGTTGAGCTTCGCGCACAAAGTCCCATTGGAAAATTCAAGATATTAGTTGTCAGGCTCTCAATCGCAGAAGTATTCCCAACCGCACCATCACGAGTTCATTTGTACAATAAATATGACAAATACTTATATCTTAAATATACCTTTTTATCCACAGAAATATTGGAATGGGAACGTCTACCTCTGCTGCTCGTGTGGGCTCTTTTCTTTCTCCCTATATTGTTTACTCGGTAAGCTTGGCACTTGTTGATGAAGGATTAATTGTTTTCTTGATGCTCACGTGTTTGTGGAAAAGAAATGCAAAAGACACGTACATTAAACTCTTGATCCTGGTTGACTTTTTACTGCACCTGCGTACGCTCTATTTTCAAGTAAAATATTTTTTCACGCGACATAAGTTTTATAGGATAAGTTATTATAAGTGTTATTGTAATTATAGTAGCAAGAAATAGAAATACGTTATCCAGAGAGAACTCGAGAGAACAAGGCAGCCAGTGAGTCTTGTGTGTAATCACCCCAAAATAGCAAATTAGTTAAAATTGAAGACGTTAGAGGAGATTCTCAATGGGGTTAACCGTCGACCGTCAAATGACCTAAAATTTAACTGTCAACCGTCAAAACGGCTTATTTTAACCTTCAACCGTCAAAGGGACCTCCCATTGAGGTGGACCCCCTCTTCTAGGCCCCAACAAATACACACAAATATCCGGCGTCTCATAACAATTTCCAATATGATTTTCCTTTCATGGCTTTAGCAACGGGTCCATCCTCTTCTCCCGTTCGGCATCATGGGACTGAATGCTCTGATAGCTGGGGTTCTCTGCATGACGTTACCCGAAACACGTAATCAACCAACATTGGAGACCATGGAAACCGAAGGACAAGGAAACAAGATGGAAATGTTGGTAAAAAATGATGAAAAAGCCATGTTGGAGGAGGACAGCCACTTACAGTGAAAGCTGTTTGTGTTCTGGCGATTTTATGCCATGACATAATACATTCGTTTTTTATGGTGGAGACAAAAGGATAGTCGCTGCTAGATTACCTTCAAATTAAAGAAAACTCCTTAACAGTTAATTATGGCAGCAAATTAAGAACCAGAGAGTCATGGGCGCAGCTGGGGG